TTTTTGCAGCTGATTTAAGAATTTGAGTTTGAATATAGTATATAGATACCAATATAAGATAATTTTCACATAATAAATGTGAATTTTCATGCATAACAGCATCAAAATTATTGAAGAATATTTAAACAGTGACACAGTAAAACTAATAAATAAGTATTATCAAATCTAGAAAAAAAAAGAATAGAATTATTGAATCGATTTTACACAAGTAATGCCTTTGACTTTATCATTGACAAATGGGTAAATAATATTATAAAATTACCATTTAACAATCTCCTGAGCTTTCGCAAGACTAGGTTTAGAAGTTTCAAAAAGAAATTTTTGAACTCTTAAATAAATTTCATTGAGTTTATTGGATCATGAAGTCTTCTTACAAAATCTATAATAACCAAAATGTCCAAAGAAAAGTTATTATTCAATTTCGAGTTTATATATGTATGTCGGTTTATTTGGTTGGTCATTTATATCACTGATTAATAAGAATAAGAACGTGCTGAGCGCAAATCAGTCATTAAATTTTTTTACCTTTTAAAAGACTCTCGTTAATCTTTCTTCATTCACACTATTAATTTAATAATTTTGTTATTTGGATCCTAATCCTAATTTTACAAAGGACAAACTTGGATTCTTAACAAGGTTCAAGGAGAAGGTTGATAACGGAATCATTACAAACATTATGATTATTAATTTGTTTCAACACGCGATTTTATATGCCAAAACTAACAATTCTAAATAGTATAACATTCATGATGGATTATTAAATTCCTATTATTTGTAAAAATTATCTTATATTGGTATCTATATACTATATTCAAACTCAAATTCTTAAATCAGCTGCAAAAAAATAAACAAATTAGAAATTCAAGCACAGGTGAATTTGAGATTAGAAGTGATGATGAATATTTACATTTTAGTGATTATCCTGAGTTTGCTGGTAAAAATCTCAGCAATTGAATATTTGAAATCAATATGGTCTGATGAAGTAGATGTTAAAAATAAAAATCCTACACAGCCAACTTATTTTTATACTAAAGCTGCAAGCTTACCACAACCAATTGCTACTGGAAATAATTTAATTCAATAAATGAAATGTAAAGCGAAAAAAAAAATAATGCAAATGTACCTGATGATATTGAATAATTGATATATTGATATTACAAGTGTAATTTAAATCCATTCCTTTTTTTTTGATAATTAAATCAATTCATATCCATTTTTTTTTAATATTATTCATTTTATAAAATGCCAAGACCATCTAAAAGATAATTACACACAAGAAACCTAGTAAATATTAAAGAAAGAAATTCTAATGGAACTTTTGGTATTAAAAAAACAAAAGAATTGAATGATTCTTCAGTAGAAGCTCTCAAACATGGTGACAATGATATTATCTGGGAAGAAAAAGACATAGAACAAATAGAATCAGATGATTCTTTGACAAAAATTCTTGATGATGAGGTTGAATGGGGTGATTATGATGATAATGATGATGGTGACTTGGAAGAAGATAATATAGAACAAGAAAAAAATATTTACAAATATTTAATTAATAAACCATTAGAGTTAAAATGGACTGATGGTGCTTCATTAGAAAAGCAAAAGAGAGGCAAGTATATGAAAGGTAAGACTCCAAATTCTACTTATTATGACAAATATGGTCCAAGTGGTACTTTTACTAAAGCAGCTGAAGGAAGTCAAAAGATTACTGATTTTTTTCAATCTAAAGAATCTGAAAATTTACCTGGTGATTGGGAAAAGATTATGGATGATGAAGGTGATGAAAATAATGAAGATAATGAATGGGGGAAAAAAAATATATTTGAAAAAATAGAATTTTTGAAAAATGAATTAACAGATGGTAAAAATAATATGGCTTTTTCTGAATACAATAAAAAACATGCCATTCTTGAATATTTAAAAAGATTAAATAATGGAAAAAGGAAAATAAATTCTAGCTTAGAAGCAGCACAAATAGTTTTTATTGACCCTGCACCATGTAAGTCAAGAACAGTAAGATATTGGGCATCATATTGGTTATCAAATAAATCAATTCCTATTAGTAAACAAGGTAAGCATAAAAAAATTATCAGATTAATTGATGATGAGGATATTGCTGAAAAATCTCATTTATGGATAAGAAGTCAAGAAGGAACAACAACACCAACAAAGTTTAAAGAATTCATTGAGCAAAATTTGCTATTAGATACTGGAACTACTAAAAAGAGCATGAGTATTACTACAGCCTCAAGATGGTTGAATGTATTAGGTTATACTTTTAAGCAAAATTGTCAGGATATATATTATGATGGTCATGAAAGGCCAGATGTTGTCAAATATAGAAAAAAATTTTTAGAAGAAATATTTAATTATGAAAAGTATATGACAACATTTGATGATGAAACCTTAGAACCAATTCTTCCAATTCTTAGTCCTGATAAGAAGGAAATAATATTAGTTACTCATGATGAGTGCATCTTTTACTCTAATGATGGAAAGAGAGGAGTTTGGGCAAGGGATGGTGAATTGCCATTGAAAAAAAAGGGCAATGGAAGATGTATTATGGTAAGTGAGTTTTTAACCGAGATTCATGGAGATTATGTTTAAACCAGGATCAAATTATAGATAACCCAGATGTTCCTGAGAAGCAAAAACAATTTTGAAACCAGGAAAAAATCAAGAAGGTTATTGGAAAAGTGATGATTTAGTAGGACAAGTTGAATTAAAAGCCATTCCAATTTTTGAAATTCTCTTTCCTAATTGCATTGCTCTATTTGCATTTGACAATTCCACTAATCATGCTTCTTACAAGGAAGATGCTCTTGTTGTTAATAGATGAATTTAAATCCAGGTGGAAAACAACCTAAAATAAGAAATACAACCTTTGGACCTAACAACACATTACAACATATGGTATTTGAAGATGGAACACCAAAAGGAATGAGACAAGTATTATTTGAAAGGGGACTGTGGAGAGATGATTTATTAGCAGACTGCAAATTATGTAAAGGTAAAGGTAAAGTTTTAGATGAAAATAGGGTAGATTGTTGTGCAAGAAGGATTCTTTCAATGCGGCCTGATTTTAAAAATCAGAAGTGTGCATTGGAAGAAGCTATTTTAGAAGCAGGACACTTATGCATCTTTTACCCCAAATTTCATTGTGAGTTAAACTTTATTGAAAGGTATTGGGGTAAAGCAAAAAAATACACTCGAGAGAAGTGTGATTATATATGGGAGGGTTTAATAAATACTGTTCCAGAAGCTCTAAATTCAATAGATGTAATAACAATTAGAAGATTTGCAAGGAAATCATGGAGATACATGGATCTATATAGGAATGGAATTATTGGAAAGTTGGCAGAGTATGCTGTCAAAAAATATAGATCACATATATAGAAGAATTCCAGAGTATATTATTCAGGAATTAAATAATATAAAATTGACTTAATTTTTTATTTGATTTGATTATTATTCTTTTCTTTTTAATTATTTTTTTTACTATAATATTTTAACTAATTTTAAATTATTAAAAAATGAACCATTAGAGTATCTGTCAAATGATTTGACATACAAAATTTTTTTTTTGCACTTTGCATAATAATAAAAAATAATTACTTATATTGGAAAGATCTACATTTTTAAATTTCGGACTATTGACGTTTATAGATGACGTGCACCATATTATTATCATCACCTGTTTCCGCATCCGTTTCTATTTCCGAATCATCCTTTTCCAAATTATTATATTATCCCTTTCACAAGTAATAGGGATGAGCTCAACTTCTTTATTAATAAACATATCGAATTCCGATAAGAAGTTTTCCCAAGTTATTTTTGATAAGAGCTCCAGATTGGATGACCTGATGTTGGCTTTAATAAATTTTTCTTTGCCTATTTTTTTCAATCATTACTTGTGATCTATGTATCACATAATTGGTTATTTTTTGTATTTTTTTTGTTTGTATTTTGTTAACGATTATTCCCGACATATTTAATTTATTAAAGCCAAATTCATCGATGGCTTTTGCAAATTGCTTAATAGTGAAAATGGTATCTCTTTGGAGATGATTGGTGTAAAGTATTTGATATTTTAATGTGTTGGCTGATTCTATTGTTTCTTCAAACTTTGAATAAAATTCTATTAATTCATATAGTTTGACTGCGTGATTTTCTGTATTTTTGAGGCTCCTATAATGTTAGATAAGATTAAATAAATGATGTCAAACAAAATTAGTGTAAAAGAGATCAAAACACAAATATATATCATACATTTGAAGTACAGATTCATGAATTCTTTTGTGATAGTCTTTAGATCAAGTTTGAAACTCCGGTTGATGCTCAATTCATATACTTCGTCAATTGTAAAAAACAATTTTACTGATGATGTTGTTGATGTTGGTGTGGTGTTGGTGATGATAGATATGCATGTTTAAGTTTATTTATTAAGTTGGTTAATTTATTTGTTTCTGTACTATTACCTTTTGTTACTTTAAACTTCCATGCTCAAAACACCTCTTCAAAGATTATTTTTCTTCAAAAGAAAATATTGTCTTTTCACCTAAAAGAAAGTATATACAATAATAATACAAGTGTATATAATGTATATAATTATAAGTTGCTACCCGAAAAAGGTCTTTTTTATATATTAAACCAAGGTGTATATAGCAGTTGTGTTGAAAAAATTTTTGTAAACAAGTTATTAATTGTGTGACAGAAGAAAATTATAACAGAACATATTTACAAAAAAACGTTAATTTAATTTACAAAAAAATGTTAAGAATTTGCTTAAAAAAAAATAATTTACCAAAAAAATTAATTTACGAAAAAATTTTAAAGATGATGTAAAAATGAATAAATTTTTATATTTTTTTTCTTTATAAATACAACTTTTGTACCAAAAAATTTCCTTGAGGGAGTGATCAACAACGCAACCATTTTCGCAAAACATCAAAAACCCTTAATTATATTTTTTTAGGATAGTAATATATCATCAGGAAATTTTTTCTGACGCGAACATTAGAGCAAATGCGTTTAACAACGGTACATGGAATAAGTGAATTTCAAGTTGATGCAAGAATATATATACACTTTTAGATATAAAGTAATTATCATAAAATCATCATATTCATAGTATGTTTAAACAATAGATTTACAAAATGTTAATAACAATGATCTATTATTTATTATTATATAGACATTCTTAGTATGATTAATTAGAGTAATGACATTTTTATGCTAATAACATTAATTAATCAAAATGTATAAGTGACCTACCTTCAAAACAATTCTCTTGAATAAAAGAAAATAACAATTAACACTCAAATAATTAAATCAATACCCAAAAGTATTTGTCAGTAAAGATTGCCCATTCAATCTGATCCACATATACATGTAAAACAATTTTATTTGTTATCAATTGCTGTTTTAAAAGAAAATTTTTTTTTAGAAACTAAATTACATATATATATATAAATATACATTGATGACCATTGTAATAATTAAATATTATCAAACCTCTTGCTAGTACATTGTTCTTCCAAATATATATATATATATATATGCGTTGTGTGTTTAAATAACTTTTGCTAATAAATAAAATATTATCCAAGAATTTAGTATATCAAGTTTATATAACAAAAACTTAATCATAATACAAAGAAATAAATAATAATATTTACAAATGAGAGTTTATCTTCCATTATCATGGATAGTCTTTCTCTCCATCTCTCATCAATAATCCACTATTATTACTGTTGTTGTTGTTTATTAACTATTTAAAAGATTTAATGAATGATTGAAATTAAATGCTTACTACTGGTTAGTTCTAAACCACCATTTAATAATGATTGTTGCAATGAACAAGAAGGTATAACATTAATATGTGGTCAATATAAATGCTTGGAATTTTATAAAAGGGTGTCATCTCAAATATAAAATCCTATATTAAATTCATTATGATTTGAAAAGAGAAATTAATTGTATATGGGGGCTGTTCTAGGAAAAAGTGGGTTTCTTCAGATTTTTTGTTTTTGAGATATTCATAAAAACAAAAAGCA